TAAAGAACTAAAAGATCGGAGGTTAAAGAACAGTTCTTCTTGCGGTAGGGTGGACAGTTTGCCGAGCTGATAGCAGCAAATTTATGTCACTGAGTGCATTTGAAGAAGGTCTTCTCATTTCTCAAAGCTAGTGAGCTATGTAATTATTGCACTTCTTCTTAAGCGCCACAATTTATTTTCACCTAAGCTGCCATGGAAACTGCTTTCAAAGGTGAATCTCATGCTGTGTGAGTCATAAAAATGGCAACTATGGCTAATTATGGCACAGCAAGCGCAACTCGGTGGCTCATAGCCTTCGGAGGGGAGACTTGATAAAAAAGATTCAAACGGAACCTTCAAAAAACGCGGTGAGGGACAGTGGAGCTCAAGCCAGAGAGAGAGACGGCAGGCGAACGATCGCTTCAGCCTCTCGCAGATGACCCTATACTGTCCCAAGCTGATCATGAGGGTGTATATTGACATCACACTCCCCACGCCCTAATGCATGAGCCATCACGCAGCTCGAACTGAAATAACGACGAATTAATAAATAGTACACTTTGAATTGAAGTGAGAGAATTCTAAACTGTTGAAAAATGTCAGACTTTCACGAAAGCTCTGAACGAAAGGAATGAAGAACACCGTGTCCCTCGAGCGAGGAGGGTCCACTGGACAACTCTTGCACGCGACAGGGACGAATGGAGACGTTGCTGGCGCCCGCTCGAGCAATTCGATGATCAAGGGGACGACACGTACACATACAGTACCGTAAATTTGGCCAAGTTGCGCCTCGCGTGACTTAGAACTGCCAAAATATCCGATACGCCTTCGATGCACGCGCAGCAGGAATCTCATCAAGACTTCGGCGCGCTCATTACATCATGACTTTGTCTTCAGTGTCAGCTGCTATGCATCCTAAATCAAAAGCGTTTAAGTCATACCAGATAGGGCTAAAAATCAGCTAGTTTGCGTTTCACTCAGAGAAACCAGGACAATAATTTAGCGAACATTGGCGGATCAGAACATCCTTATCTTTTATCTACACCGGTTTGATAGAGCGTCGTCATTTTGAGGTTCAAAGTAGCACATAACTTGCAACTATATTTAAGAGCAGATTTGAGGCTTTGTAATAAGTCTCCCATCTTCTCGAAAATTTGCTCCTTCTCGGATTCAAAATACAATTCCGTTTTGCCAAATATGTGTACGATACGATATACGATGCACTCCTCCAGAATCACCGTAAATATTGGGTTGTTTCAAGAAAGTTTCCGCCGATTTTGGCCTCTCCAAATTCAAAAGCGCATATCTCGGTTCAAACAAGGTCTTTGCTCAAAATAAAAAGGATTTCAATCCCCATACCTTTGCCTACAAGGAGAACATTACAGTTCACGTCGTCCGATATGGAATGTGAGCTCTTTGATCTAAGAACTCGCGAAGGCCGTTTCAGCCGCCATGCTTGGGTTTCAATGCCAGATCTTCCTCATAGACGCTTTGGAGCCCTTTTCTCTAACTTATGATTCCACTTGATCTAATTACAAGAGCAATTATTTAGTGGCTCCAATCAAGAGTAGTTTTGACGCTTATCGCCGAAAATTGAGCTTAGCATGAACAGTGGGTCCTATATTAATATAAGGACGTCAGCAACCTTAAAAAGATTCTGAGTAAAGAACTGTGAAAGTTGTGCCATCACACAACCTGGCCTTGGTGTCATTTTGTTCTGTCTATCTTTAAGGGTTATGACAAGTCTTGATCATAAAGTATGTTTTTATTTTTATTTATTCTTGTGCGCTCGTAAGAACGCGCAGGGGAACGTGTTCACATGGAGCCACGAACAGGAACAGAGCTGAAAATAAGAAACGAAGAAAAAAAGCATCTGTAGCTATGGTTCAATAGTTCCTCTTTAAGAAAACGGGAACTACTGTAATCATAGGAGTTAAAAGAGAACATAAACACTAAATCAACAGAGAAAAGATGAAACGAAATAAACGCAACTATACGAAAGAAGTAAGTAGGCCAATACGCCTAAAGGCAGTAAGAGAAGAAGTGCATTCCGAATTACATTGAATTACATTTGTATTAATATAGGTACTAATTAATTCATTCATATTTCATTAAATGGTCTCAATCATTCAAGTGACTCCATTTTGCGCGAATTCTGAAACGTAAACTCGGAAATGCAAAAACTTGTCACCACGATGAGTCGAACTAGGACCCCCTTTTATGGTATTCAGAGGACTGTTCAGGAAAAACGGACCATGGTTCTGTCGTTCCTGCATGTGCCCCTATATCACGCAAGACACCGGTTTTGAAAAAGCTAGCAGACTGTAACTACCTCTTTTGTCATTGCATAAACTAAGGTGCGAATGACGAGGCAGTAAGTACCATATGTAATTTGAAATAGGAAGGCGTTTGTGTATAGAGAGCAATAAGATTTCACTAGGGCGTTTCTTGCCTCCAACAATGATGTGGAGTTGAGATGTCGATTATAATATGGCTCAAACTTTGCCTTTGGCTTAGGCTCGAGCATGGGCTTACCACATGCAATTGAAGTGCTCTAATAAAGTTAATCTGATCTAATGAAAACTTGATAAGCACTCACTAACGAATTAATAGAAACAATAAAATCTGTTCAATCGACAACATTGAAGCTGAGATTGAACTGCCAGTGTCTAGATGCTAGAGAAAAATCGTTTCGAAAGATACCAATGATAACAGAAGAAAAACGTGATCAGAGATGTAGTAAACGGCTGGCTATTCATTTCGATATTATGCTAATTTCACATTTCGACCCGCCAGCGGAATGGGTATTGATTTTGCGCACTTGTAATCGATACGCATTTGTTTCGCAAAAATTCGCTGAGGAGCAGTGTGAAGTGTGAAATTGAAAAAGTGTCGAGTGATGCAATCGAAAGCGGAGAAAAAGAGATTTTGAAAAATAACTACAGTGTCAATCGCCACGTTGGGGGGAATTTCCCAAATTGGATGGTCCTCTATGCTGAGTGCTGTAGCAGGGTCTCCAATACAACTGCCACCCCCTCGATGGTACCATGATTGCCGTTGGACCTATCAACATGCGAAACACCTCGAATCTCTCTATCCCCCCCCCTTGGAGAAAACTAATTTCGGCTCTAGTTTTGTCGGGTGGGCCATTATTGTGCAGGGAGTCGATCCAGCCAACACCAATCGACCCTAGTCACCTTAAGACTAAGTCTTGTGGGAGACAAGGGGTGTCTAAGCAGTTTTGATATCCACCAAAGTACCCCTCTCCTCTTGGATTCATACCGTACAACGATGCCCCGCCCCCATGACACCAGCACCCGAACTTCTTCAGATCTCATAAAAGTTTGATGCAACTTCACAAAAATCTGCTTCTTTCCCTGTATTCCCAATATACGACCCTACTCCCAGTCCCTACTGGCTGAGGAAATCTCAACGAGGCGTTGACTTGATATAGCCATGATAGCAACCGGAAGAATCACTGGTGAAGCGATGACCAGCAAAGATAAAGATGACAATAGTAAGTTGTAAGAGCATGTCGGTTGATTCGACCGAACAACACGAACGTGTGCCAATGTATGTAATTGTGTGACGAGTAGGTTGTTCGTGTCCGTTGCCAACTCAAATGGACGGCCTCAACATGAATTCATCATGAAAATTCAGCCGATGAAATCTGAAATCTCACCGATGAACCCGCCGAGTCTTGTAAAATCGTTGCAAAAATGCAAGAAAAGCCGCATGGAAAGCAACAGAAAATTAGGATGGCCCGTTTGCGATCCAAATTGTTTTGTTTCGGATTAGGTCGGTTAAACTAAAACCCCTTAGTGGGCTATGCCGCGTACACACGCAGAACTATGCGTGACGGCCCCATACCTTAGGATTGGTGATAGCAGAGACTTATTCGCCCACAGATGCACCTGCTATCTAGTGTTATTATATAAGCTGTTTGAATTTTAGTGAACTGCTACTTGTGGGAACGATCGTTTCCATGCTCGATTTTAGTGGATTTTATGAAGGATACCGCCATTTTGACTGTACGTCAGTCACACCGAGGCCGTGTGCCTTCTGTACATACATGAATAACGAGTGGACTCAAACGTGATTACAGCGGGCCTGTCCGTCAGATAGGACTAACCTTGTACGGGCAGGTTGAAACCAAATATACGAGGTGGCACAATTGCACAGAGTTATGGACTCGGAACACTCTTCGCCTTTGCTTTTCTATTCTTAACAAGATTAAAGTTTCAAAAGAATGGACAAGGGTTATTTGCAATGTCCCGCCGCGCTCATCATTATTTCACCTATGTAGTTGATCTTTGTTAAACAGTCTTTTCTTTTGGGGATCAGCACAAAATTTTTCTCGTATTAGGGCGGGGACCATTGTTTACATTACGCCGCATACAGCGGGCTCGTCAGCAATTAGTGGTAGAAGTGCGAATGTCGGCTGATTTGTGGTTGCTCTCATTGCCTTTTTTCTGAACTGAAGAGGTTTAAGGAATGTTGTGAGTGCTAACTTCATAAACGCAGTGGCATATACCAAATAGTTTGCGTGCGCCGTACTTAGAAAGTAACTATGTAGATTAAGTATCCAAATCGTCTTCAGCATTGTATCCGCTTTTGAAAGACCATGTGTAGCCATTTGAATTGGCCTTCGATTTCATGCTGTTCGCGGCTAAACCGCCTTCAGAATCAGATGCGCATTTGCACATTACACTTTCTGCATTCAAGCTTGACGGCACAGAGGGTTGTGTATAGCGATTCCTCCTTGGGGGGGGGGGTCATATTTCGAATCTATGTCTCGACTCCCCTTTGAACTGCTTTGAAGGGGTGTACACACGGTTCATTAAAAGACCTGCGAAGATCACTCACCCATGACAGAATCTGCGTCCTTTACGTGATTTAGTGAAACAAGTTGAGCACCACGCATACAAGAGAGGGCGCTATTGCTAAGATAGAGGGGCATATGAGATGGTCCGGCCGGTTGGATCATGCAGGGCAAGGCGCGATAAACATGCCCTTTTATAATGAAAAACGGGGACAGTCTCGGTGGCGCAATAGGTACGCCAAGAGCGTCAGCTAATTTCATTCGCCCTGGAAATTCTATCCCTCCGGGTCAGGAAGCCCTAGTCCGCGAGGATTTCCCCCGTACACTGCGATACGCCCGATGTGTCGAAGCTCAAGCCTCAGAACAGCGATCTGGTGACTTGAATTGTGCGATAAATGACGGGCTGCATTCGCCCTATTACCAAACCGTGGATTCCCGTAGAGCAAATGCAATTTTTTAGGAATTTCCGTTTTCTACTATAACTCTTGACGTCATGTTCTGGTCTATGAGCGTGTATGGTGTTCTTGTTGTTGTGCGAAAAAGCATAAGCATGGTGTGGACAAGAAACGGGTCTCGTCTAGCCATATAGCCATAGATTGTGCAACGAAAGACCGGTTGCCACGATCCGGGACAAACGCTTTAAAAGCCCTTCGAATCGCCATTATCATAGACTTACTTGATCCTCAAACAATGATTCGGTCACCTGGTCCTGCTCGCTACCTCCATCGCTTTGGCTATCGCCTTCCACCGTAAGCCATTTCGATTTTCGATTCTCGCATTATCCATTGATGATTTCGGTCTTCTTACTGTGCGACCAAGGCTTACTGTATGTCTCTTGTTTTCAGAGTACAGGGAGCTTAATGTACGACCCACCGACCCAGTCGAGGAGGTTCGCTTGACAGGGTAATGTGCTTAATTATTCTTTAACTGTTTAGCAGCTATGCATTTATATCGTATTCGTCGATAAAAATTGCTCGATTACTGATTGATTGATTGAGTGATTGATTTTCATTTTTTCATTACTTCCTAAATTTGTGCCTCAATATTCACGACCCCCCTTATAGAGCGCAGTGTCAGCTAACTCTTGAAGGAGGAAGAGCTCGAGTCTGGGCGCCCTGTGCCAAAAGACCTGGGATGCTGGAAGGTAATCTTTGCCATCTATCTCAGAGAGAGACAAGGAGGGCCTTCGAGTTGAAAAATCACTCCAGTCTGAAGTTCAGGAGACCTTGAATAGCGAAGAGAGGGAATACTGTGATTTGGTCTGCCCCAATTCTCATACCGTCTTCATCTCATACATCGATCAAGGACACAGAGCATGCTTCAACTACATTACCTACCAAATCGAAAAGGTTCACAACTGTTCCAAAATTATTTATCACTTTCTCTGAAGGAAAGTGGCATATTTGATCTTGTTACGATTTTAGCGCGCTGAGGAGCGATATTTGTGGCGCAGCGGTAAATGCCTGAACTCACCGTCAACTACCGTATCGGATGCAAATTCGACGATCCATTCGACACCCAGTTCAAGTCTGACAACGAGATTTTGGCGCATCTCCGTGCTCGTGCCCGCCGAGCTTAAACTTCCCATGACTGCCTATTTTTGTAATTTGTGCAATTATCGAGCAATGATAATTAAATATTGACTTCTTCAGCTTAATTTGTTCAAAAAGGAAATTAATTGCAACTCGTAGCAGTAAAGCTTGAGGATTTACCGTTATCGTTTTGGGACCCATTTTGAGGCTTTTTGAAAAAAGTGCAGTTTTTTGCGCTCACGTTTGGAGGACTGCTGCTCTAGCATCGGCTTATCGGCCCACATACATAGCACGTGTATCGCAGTGCGGGGGCCGGAGGCTTCGGTGTCATGCACCCCTGCTGGATCAACTCGAAACTGGTCAAGTACGCTCGCCAATCCCCGAAATCCGACAGGTACAGACTGCACCAAAAGGGGAAAACGGTGCGGTGAGCTGTACGTGTCGCCTGCCCGCTGCAGGTCAGCTTGTAAAACAGCGTTCGAATGCCTAGTTGCGATTCCGAACAAAATTCATCCGCATACCACCGCTAATGGATTGGTTGGCGTTGACCCGTCTCCCATCAACGGTTTTATCTCGTGCAGCTGACTGCTAGGGTACTGTATCATGTTAATAAGTCAAACCTCCCAAGTAGAAAAAAATCCCTGAAAGTGTTGGTAGAGCACATCAACTTCCTACTTCGCTACCGGACTGCAAAGTGTTATGGAATGAGATTGCCGTTTTGCCCCGAGGGCGATATAATTCACTAATCTCCTTCTAATGATGAGTGTTCATGGTTTATTGCTCTGAACGCAAATCAATGTTATCTTTATGTGCAGTGAACTTCAGTTCCTATACAAACAGATATTCAGCATCTTTCAGATTGCAGATTGTTCAACTGCAGATGTTTTTCAAAGGAATCGACCACAGAAAAATCATGGCTCTACATATCTCACCCATAAATCAATAGCATGAGACCCATCGTTCACGATAGAAAGAATAAGAACAAAAAATTGTGTTCTTCAGGTAAACAATTCGAAAAACCCGAAGGAGTGCTACGGTTCAAATTCCCGCCGTACATCTGTCACAAATGTTGGCGACGGGAGCGGTTTCATTTGGTTCTCGGAGTACTTTACTAGGAACTCTTTTTGGCCATTTCCTTTTATGGTGATCACATTTCTGTTTTCTGCTGCATCCTCTTCTATCATTGTTTTGTATCTATTCTCCGAGTTCGAACTTTCTTCTGTTGAACACACGAGGTTGGTAAAGAAAGCTTATATAAGCTATAAAGGAGGGCAAGAATAGGTCACGATCATCAACTGCTTTAGGAGCCCACAGGGTTCAAATCATGATGGGGATGATTTTGAAGTCACAGTTAAGGTCTTGGCTCAAGAATCAGAAACATCTGCACGGAAAACCCTTGAGGCATTCTGGATTCAAGTCAGCAGTCCTAAAATGAATCAGAGGGAAGAAGGCCTCATGATAACGAGGGAGTTAAGACCTTATATAAGATTAGCCTTCCAGTAGTGACTCTCATTTGGAAAGAGTCCGGATTGCAGCTGGTGCTGTGCTTTGTGGCTGGTCTAGAAGTCCGGACTGAATTGCGGTAAGTGGTCCTTCTTGGGGCTAGCGATGTTTTGGTTGATTTTGAACTTCTATAAGGTGGCGGCGACGTTTGGTCGGGTTGTCATAAACTGACTAGGCTTTTGCAGGCTCTGACGAAGGCGACCCCGCCGAAACGTTTAGCCGATAAAGCTTCTTTACCAACCTCTGCTGTCGTGTTCAGAAGACAGTAGAAACATCATGCCGAGTTTAATTCAAAGCCGTACATGGACAATTCTTTCCATTCGTAGCCTAAACGTGCCAAACCCAAGGAGCACATCCTTCCGTGTATTCCCCTGTCTCCGCCTGACCTACCCTCGCCCTTTCGGAGAGTTGCTTTGCGTAAGTTTTATTTTTCTCGAAATTGAATTTCTTGCGTGATACTTCATATTTTGTCTCTAGCGATCATATCGGACGAATACATGTTGAAGAGAATGCAAGAATTCCTGGGGTTGATTCCTTTGACACGCTGACACGAATGCCCCCCCGTAGTTTGGAAGCCGGGCACATGCGCACGAGGCACATTGCTCTCCAAAACTCGTATCGTTTTTTTTTTCGCGCAATCCGACTTCTTTCTTAGCTTTTTATATTCATGCTATAGATCACATTATAAAATGACTGCCAAGGGCGAGGCTCACCGAGGCTCCCTCGAATTGCCAGAACAATGCTTTACTTCAGACCTCAACCTCCCAGTCTTACAAATTTGCCGTCCAGCTAAATTTCGTTTTTTTTTTGTATTCTCAATAAAGGTGTATTTGAAAGGATTAGTAGAGGAAAATTAAAATATACACAAGTGGCTAGGCATATGCTTTTATTGGCCCATCACCTTTTTCTTCCAAAATTATAAGTATTCGTATATAACACTTAGAATATGGAAATGTTGCAGGAATCGGCGTTTTCGACAGCTGGCCATTATTTCTACTTCTGAACACAAAGGTTGCCACAGTGGAGCTTCGAACGTCTGGACTCATACCGGGGTCTTTCAGAAGTTTTTGTAGGGAAGTCGCATTTAGATATAAGGATTAACAATGAGGGGCGTATTCTAAGTTTTCGGATTTTGCTAAAATTTCTGGCTGGTTGTTTAATAGCGATCTAACTGTAGAACCAGTGACTATACATCTAATCACCTTCTCTCCCTGCTCGAACGACCTGCTCTTTAATGATGGCAGAATTTGAGATGATCGTGAGGTGTGTCGATTGATCTCAGATACTACGTTCGAAAGAGGCTCGTAGGTGAGTGTGGTGGTTTTGGTGATTCGTGTGAAGCTCTGAGAGGAGAGCTGGGCTCTGAATGAAGTTATCTCCCAACGGTCACGATGACACTAGCGCCAGCTCATAGCCGATGTGGGTATTTCATTGTTAAAAAGTTATTGTAGAAAATTAGTGAGATAAGACGTCTAAAAAGACTGCCCTTGTCGTTGCGGTTCAATTTTGACTGAATCTTTCTTGTTTTCGTTCCGCTAGAATTGCATCAGTGTGCGTCACTTCACTTTCGAGGAAACAATCCAATAGAAATTGAATCAGTCTCACACTTTTTTAGTGCCGTCTAACTCATCTGAAACTCGAGTATTTGCTAGAAATTTCATTGATTTGCCTGTGCTACATATCTTGGTAAGTTTAGTTTTTGATGGCCAGTGCGGTCTTAAAACTATTGGGCGCGCTCAGATTTGATCGTAGCGTCGCAAAGGGGAAAGTGGTGAGCCGGAGGCCGCTCTTCATTCGGCTTTCAGCCTTCGGTTATTGCTTTTGCTACTGATAGCTGGCAAGTGTATCATAAGAGGTAACAAATCTAGTTTGAGAAGTATTTTTTCTGCCCCAGCTATCTCGAGTATCTCTCCTTTCTCAAGCCTATCTCGAAGTAATCCACCGCTAGAGCGTCAGCAGCTTTTGTTCTCATTCACACAAGCTTATTTAGAGTTGATAGTTACTTTAGGCAATTTTGAAGCTGCACGGTATTTTCTAATTTTCCTTAGGCCCTTAAAGGATGCCCTTTGTGGTGTGTATAGTTTAGCGGCAGATGTGGTCCAGTTATTTTAAAAATGACTCTTGTCGGTAACAAATCTTGCGGGATACGCCTTGCTTTTGCTTAGAATCTTTAAACTATTTGGATGCAAGTTTTCATTCATAATGAAGACCCACTCCAAAAGGCTCAACCTTTGTGACTTGTCTTGGGCAGGATGCCTTCTTGCATTAGATCGAGAATTAGTTTTTCATAGTTTTTCCTACAGATTTATACCCTGAAATCTCAAAGCCAAATTCGCGAACATCGAACGGTTCGGGAGAACTTTAGGTATGCCCATCATTCTAAAGGCATTTGAGGCCAGCACTCTGAGTTTGAGATGCCAGCAGAAAATGCCATAGGAAATTCTGTAGTAATCGATTCTCGAAATGGTAACGGATTTTTCCACCCCACATCCTGTTCCATCTACCGTACCCATGCCGATAATGGGTTCGGGGGGCCGGATTCAATCCTCCCCCAAGAGGTTGGAGGACGAAAATCCTTTAAATTTTCTCTGTCTTCCCAACTGGGATTGTCCTGATAAAGGGCCTACATTTAATGTATGTATGTAGGTCAAAGTAAACATGCAATGAAGAAACTATATCGTTGAAAACAAATAAATTTGAAGGGATTTTCAAATCCAACCCCTTGGGGGAAGATTGGATCCGGCCCCAAGTCCAAAGTGCGTCACACACTTGCCACTCTATCAATATTTTTTTCTAGAAAATTACGAAAAAGCAGCAACACGTCGGAAACAATTTGAAGGGATCTTTTTCGCGGCAACGGACTGCGGCATATCGGCCATTCCTTTATAGCGGAAAAGTAAAAGTGCCCAGCATCGGAATAGTCCTAAAAGTGCTCTACGCATGTGTGTTCTGTTCAAATTCGATAGAGCATTCAAAAGCGTTCTGTCATGTACGGCGACCTGCGCGAGTCAGTTGAGTTAGTTAGATATTGAGCGAGGAAATCAAGCTGCATTGTCGTGTGGTGAGTTGGTGCTTGAAAATCTCCGTTAGAGCAGCCTAATACTCGTTTGACGACTCTCTTCTCAGATATGCCAGATCTTCTTATGCCCAATGCGGAACGAAAGCTCACTAGATTAGCCATTAGGCCATTAGGTCTTACCCATTCCTCGACTGTACAGCTGGAATCTCACCATTCTTTTGGCTAGTTTCGCAACCAAGAGAATAGTTATTTATATTAATTTATTTCTGTTCGTGTATTTTATTTACTAGTTTGTTTATTTTCTGATGCACGTGTAGGTGCGTAGGTGCAGTGTTTGAAGGCAAAAGTAGGCATCATTGAATTTGAGATTAAGAAGAGTAGTGTCGTGAATCATAGAAGTATGTGATGAGTGGAAGCAGTAGATCAGGATGATGGGGCGGAGCCGCAGACGCGGAGCGGGGCTTCAGAAAGGATTGGAGGCCTGGAGGTGAACATGGTTGCACCTTTAGCTCTGAAAACACTATATTTCGGCTTCCTTTGTCGCATGATGAGCTTCTTGTGCAGCCTACCTTCATGCACACACACACAC